GTTCCAGGTGAGGTGCTCTGAGACCCAGAGGGCAGGGCAGCAGCCTGGAGCCCAGGCGCACTGGCCCGTGACTGCGGGCTGGACTGACTGACCGGGTTTCCACTGCAGAGCATTGGATAAGGTGGGGGGTATCTTTGGGTCCCACCCAGCTCGGAGCCCTCGAACCAGAAGAACCCCGAGACCCTCCACGAACCAGGCACACTGGTCTGGGGCAGCTCCTCACTGTGGCGTCCAGAATTAAAGGCAGTTCCCGTAAGTGACAGGACAGGGCCCGCAGCCTGGAGCAGTCTCCCTCCCCGGCAGGAGTTGCACCAGGAGTGGGTGTAAACGCACACAGCGGTGGTGGAGCGAGGTTACTGGGTGCTGCCTCCTGCTAGGCTGAAACGGGGCTGGTCCTCGGAAACCCGCCGTAATCTGGTCAGTGCCCGGCGGGAACCGGGTCAGTCAAGCCCTGACACAGGCGGCCAGGAGTAACTGTGGGGAGCACAGCCCCGCGCCTCACTTCACGCCCTGTGGGGACTGCTTCTGCACTGCAGGCTGTCTGGCCCGCCAGCCCCGACCACCGACCACCAACCAACCACCGAGCCAAGCCTACCTACTGCGACACCAGGCTGGTGGAGGGGACCACAGCTCTACTGCCCTGGGGGGACAGGGAGGGAGCAGCCTCTGCTGTGGGCCGCCTCTGCGGAATTCCAATCCTGTGACTTTAAGGGGAAAATGAAGAGAATGAAGAGCAGGGGTCAGGCTCCTCAGCAGCTCCGAGATGGCCCTGGGCTGACCTGTGATCTATAGCTACGGGCAGCATCCCTTATGGCCCACGTGGTTTCAGTCCCAGCCCCAGTGGCTTGAAAAACGTGTGTGCGTGTGCGTGTGTACACGCATGTACGTCTTCCAGGCCCTGGCAGGCTGGAGAAGTGGAGAAGCAATTGTAGCGTGACCATTCCTCACCGAGGGTGCTTTCTCCCTCCCTACCTCCCTCTCCGGCAAGCTCATGTTCCCTCTGGTAATTAAAAATTTTAAATTTAAAAATAGCATAATCCCTACAGCTTCGAAACTAATTTCTTTTATTTTCTTGAGAGATTCTTGCCATAGGGCACGGTGCTTGCAGGAGAGACAAAAAGAAAGTTGAGAAATCACCCGAGGGGGATGGCCATGCTGCAATCCCTTCTCCTCCTTTCTCCTCTCGGGATTGTGGGCACGCAGGTACATGTACCCAGAGTGAGTTTCAAGCCACCGGGTCTGGGACTTGAACGGTGTCAACTCTGTGGGAGTCCAGCACCTCAACCACCACGCCACTTGCTGGTCCCTGAAACCAATGTTTATAACAAAAGAAAGTCAGAGAAGAAAGGAAGTTTTAAGTACTTTCTGAAAGTACATCAAAGTACCACAGGCATCTTTACATCGATTGTTTTAAAAAAATAATTATTTAATTTTATTTATTATTATTACTTTTCGAGTTTGCTATAGGGCATGTGCATTCACCAGAGAGAGAGAGAGAGAGAGAGAGTGAGAAAGCAGAAATCCAGGCTGGGGACTCGAACCACAGTACTCACACCACCACCGACCCCGTGGGAATCTAGCACCTTAACCTTCACGTCCCCTGCTGGCCCTACATCAAGAGTTTTCAGAGCACGGAAGGAGAAAGGGGTGACAGACTTGTCTGTGGTGGTTTTGCTCACTCCGAGCTGGGGCATACAGTACTTTCCCACAGTCCCCTGGGGGTGGCCCGGCAGAGCCCAGGCCTCAGCCTCAAGCCTCTCTTGGCCATTCCAATTTCAGTGGGCCTCCCGTTCCAGCCCCTTAGGCAGGACTGCGCCTTCAGGTCGGCTCCTGTTCATTCTTAATTTGAGGATTCCAGTTTTTTCATGGGCAGGGGAACAGAGAGGGCCAGGCCTTTCCGCGGGCCCCTGCTTGGCTTCGCCCCGAAGGTATTACTGTCAGCTCATTTCTGGGGAAGTCTCTGAGCCTGCCCTAGGCACGCTGTCAGACATCTGCTGTTTGACGGGGCTGCAGACCTGGCGCATCGCCCCCAGAGCTCCTCGGGGAGTGTTATGAAAGTAAGGAAGAGCTAAGGGTCTGGGCTTCCTCCGGGAGGAGGAGCAGGCCAGTCCACGCCAGGAGGTGGCGTTGCGATTGCTGCGCGCACTGTCCCGGAGACGGCCGGGCTCTGCGGGCGGGTTACTGCCCTCCTGTAACCGGGCACGCAGTGCTGGGGGAGCAGACTGGAGCCGGCCCTTATGCACAGGTGGGAGAGAGGACAGGACGAAGGCAGAGTCGTCTGCATGGGCGCAGCACTTCCCTTCATGCCCGCTCCTCCCTGCTGCCCTCGCTCCGAAACCTGGTGGCCCAGATTCACAGCAGAGCTGGAGGGAAGTTTGCAAACGTTTTGTCATGATAGGAGTCGAGGGAAATCGTGGTTGTACTTTTAGTCAAGGGGAGAGGCTGTTTTATCGCCCCCTGCAGTGCAGGTGTTGAGTCCATGAGTCCCTGGAGGTTTTCATTCCCGGGTCTCGGGAAGACGCAGCCACATGGCCGCAGTGCTTGCCTGGCAGCGCCCAGGAAGCCTGGTCCTTTGCAGGAGGCTCTTCTTCCAGCCCCAGGGGCAGACCTGAGCAGGTCCCCACAAGTACCTAGTTACAGAAGGGTCAATGAGGGGGGGTGAGGGCGAACCCATTCAAGGGAGCAGACCGAGCGTCAGGGGGTCTGTGAGCGCTGCCTGGAGAAACACCCCTTGGCAGGCGCCCCCACCGCCCTCCCCGCACCCCAGCACACGTCAATCACTTCTGTCTCCACGGACTTGGCCACTGGGACCTTCCGCACAAATGCAGCCGCCTGTGGGGTCCGCTGGGAGGACTCGGTGCAGGGCGGCAGCACCGCGCTCCCCCGAGGCTGGCAGGGCCCCAGCTTACAGACATGGTCCTTGCCTGTTCCCTCGCCAGCTGACCCCTGGGCCTCTGGGTGGTTTCACTCTTGGGCTGTGATGACTTTCAGGGCCGGCCTCGACATTTGCATTTGGGAAATCACTTTTGCAGGGGAGCCTTGAGGATTAGCAAGGTGCAGAGGGACCCAAGGTGCAGAGGGACCCAGGGACCTAGGCAGGAAGGAGCCTGTGGGACTGAACAGGGCAGTGACTGACGTGCTCTGAGTGGCCGGGAGCCAGGTGGAGCCCACTTGTCACTGTCACCAGAGGGTTACTGGGGTTGGAGGTTGAGAGAGGGCGGCTTTCTCTCAGGGCAGAAGAGAGCCGCCAGATTTGAAGACTCTCAGGAAGGACCCTGTGATAAGTGGCAGGGGAGAGAGGGGAAGCCAGGAGGCCTTCCAGGTTCTGGCCACTGAAGGGGGACACCCCCGCTTGTGAAGTGCTGGATGCTTGGGCACGGCCGGAGAGTCTCGGCATGGACATCCCACCCCACCACAGATTGTGTTGAACCACAAAGGGGCAGCGGGGAACCAGGCAGCTCTGCAAGGCCTGGGCTGGACCTTTGTCCCTGAGGGAGGAGGAAGAGCTTCTTCACGCTGGGGCCCAGGGCGAGGGCGAGCCCTGGGGGAGAACGTGGCCAGGAAGGAGCAGGCGGCGAGGTCGGTGGTGGGGTCCCAGGACATCTGCCGCGTAGGCCGAGGGAGAGGAGCTCCCAGCCAGAGGCTCGGAGCGATGCAGCGTGTCCAGCGTGCGGTCCTGAGTTAGGGGACAGTGGGGGTCAGTACTTAGGTCAGTGGGGTTGTCCACAGGGCTGTGGGGGTGGGACGCCCAGGAGGAAGCCAGGGTGAGACAAGGAGCTGGGACACTCCCCGCTTCGCCCTCCTCCCGTCCAGGGCCTGGCCACTCCGCAAGCCCCTCGTCCATTTTTCCTTGTCACCCGCTCTCTTGGCACCTGTGTGTGCTCATTCCTGGGGCCAGGGACTTACGGAACTTCGGTCAGTGACTGGGATCCGCCCCACCCCTTTGGTGGCTGGTCAGGCTTGTGTTTGAGATTTACGTTGCCAGGAGCCATCAGAGGCGGTGAGAAAGACAGGAGATGTGTTGGAATGATTTTTTTTCCAGACAGAATGAAAAGGCCGTGAAGTATTTTTTAAAGCAGTGATAATGGGTGACCTTGGAAGTCTTCTCTTTCTGATTTTAGTGTCACCTGCCACCAAAGGCACATGTGCTCACTGGAGAGAGAAGCAGAGAAGAGGGAAGGCCCCAGGGGTGACGGCCACACCGCAGGCCCTTCTCTGGGATTGTGGACACACAGGCATGCACATGTGCACAGCGGATTTTTCAGGCCTCTGGGCCTAGTGTTTGAACCTGGAGTTGGCCATGCGGATCCAGTGCCTTCACCACGCCACCTGCTGGCCTTGAAGCCTTTTTTCTTTTTAAGTTCATCCACTCATTCCTTCATTCATTCCATGAGTGAGAGAAAAAGAGAGAGGGAAGGACAGCAGCCCCAGCAGGGCCTCCATCCTGCGACGCAGCCCGGGTCAGCCAGCCCCAGATCGTGGGCGTGTGCCCTGCGTGTGCAGGTCTCAGACGGGAGCCGCCCCACCCATGTGGGTGCACGTTGTAGGGTGCCGTGTCCCCACTGCGTGTCGCTGGGCTCCTTGACATCTTCTTGAGAACTGGGTAACAGGCTCGGAGGAGCCTGCGGGTACCGCTCACAGTTAAGGGGCAGGAGAAGTGGGTGAAGGAGGTAGAGGAGGGGGTTCTGGGTCTGCAGGTCTCCCTGGCACAGCAGTGCACACCTCGTGTGAGCCTCGTGGCCCAGGGCTGTGGGCCAGGTGGACCCGGCCTTCCTTCCCTGGCCGGGCCCAGCCCTGTCCCAGCTGTTGGGGTGGCAGGGTGAGCGACTGTTGTCAGTATCAGCAGGCGCTTCCTGTGTCTTAGGACAAATCGCCTCTTTTAGAATTGATTTAAAATCTAAAAAAAAAAAAATTAAAATCTTAATCACAGCAGGAACCTGTGGCATATTAATGACACGCCCCCTTTCCTCTCTTGGCTGTTTTGTTTTGTTTCGATGAAGGGACCACCTGGAAACTGCAGGACACGTGTGCATCCTGAAAGATGCCTTTGACTTTGAAAGCCCGTCGGAAATCGCAAGCCTCTTGAGGGCTGACGAGTTCGAGGCAGCGCTGGCCCTTCACCTCTACCGGGGAGGCCGACTTCTGCAAGGTAACCCACTTCCTCTCCCGAGCACACTGGGGCCGAGTGTCAGCCACTTCTGGCGTCGGTAACACGTGAGACAGCACCTTCTGTTATCGGCTCAGGAGTGGGAAGAACACGGCAGTCTCTTTTGTTTTTCTACTAATTTTCTAAAGTGGTAGAACTATACCGATTGAGAATGCATATATATTGAAGCTTGTTTTTCTTACTATATGAAGAGTATTGTCCTGATGTTTTTCAGAGTGTGTTTTGAATTTCAAAGTGTAATTTTTGAAAGTTAAAAATAGGATCCTTGGGGCCGGCAGGTAGTGTGGCGTGTACGGTGCTAGACTCACATAACCAACCACGGTTCGAGTCCCAGACCTGGCAGCTTGCTTTCTCACTCTCTCTCTCTGTCTGGTGAGCATGCATGCCTTGTAGCAAATTGAAAAATAATAGTGGTAAATAAAATTAAATAATTACTTTAAAAATAGAATTATTTTACAGTGTAGAAGGAGCAATTATGAAGGATTTTATTCCATCCGTGAGTGCGTGTGGACACTCTGAAGATGCTAAAGCTGAGTGAGTCTGAGCAGGTGCGGCCGCACAGGCGAGGTGCTGAGGCATACGAGCGTGGGCTCACTAGGTTAGTGCAAAGCCGACTGGCATGGAACCGGGACATGGACCTGAGTTGGGGGCAGGAACACAAGCTACCCGTTACTTCGTGCACCCCGGTGGGGTACGAGTTCTTCATCAGCAACGAGCACTGACGTCAAACCCCAGTGCATGTTCTTAGAAAAGGAACGAAGCCTTGAGACCGCCCGACGCCGCCTCCCAGGACTTCGGCTTGCTTTCTCACTCTCTCTCTCTGTCTGGTGAGCATGCATGCCTTGTAGCAAATTGAAAAATAATAGTGGTAAATAAAATTAAATAATTACTTTAAAAATAGAATTATTTTACAGTGTAGAAGGAGCAATTATGAAGGATTTTATTCCATCCGTGAGTGCGTGTGGACACTCTGAAGATGCTAAAGCTGAGTGAGTCTGAGCAGGTGCGGCCGCACAGGCGAGGTGCTGAGGCATACGAGCGTGGGCTCACTAGGTTAGTGCAAAGCCGACTGGCATGGAACCGGGACATGGACCTGAGTTGGGGGCAGGAACACAAGCTACCCGTTACTTCGTGCACCCCGGTGGGGTACGAGTTCTTCATCAGCAACGAGCACTGACGTCAAACCCCAGTGCATGTTCTTAGAAAAGGAACGAAGCCTTGAGACCGCCCGACGCCGCCTCCCAGGACTTCGCCATCAGAGGGGGGCGCGTCGGGGTGTTTGTGGCCTTGAGAAGTGAGCTGCTTCTCCAGCGCGTTGGTGGCACAGTAGTGGCGTCATCCGTGCCACGACACGCCAAGGGAGAGCTTGGGGTTTAAGATCCAGATCATCCACAGCCGTCCTCACACCTCAGACCCGGTTTCAGTCAGCAGAGAGTGTCGGGTTTCTGGGCTTTTCAGCAGTTCCACTGCCGAGGGCGACTTCCACTGCTCCGGCCATACGGAAGCACAGAGCTTCGAGCTCGGGCTCCGGCTGCGGCTGCGGCCCTGCCTCCTGCAGTGGAAGGGCCCTCTGCGATGCCCCCTCCTGCGGTGGCCACGTCCTTGTCTAAGGCGGCACACACACGGTAAGACATCCCCCACGCAGAGGGAAACAGCTGAAGACACGACAGGGACCTCCTGTGTGAGGGGTCTTCAAGGGCCCACGAGAAGCCCCCGAAGGGAAAGCAGCGCGGGGTTCCCTCTACCTCTCGCCAGCGTTAACTTGTACTTCAATTCCGTTTTGTCACAGACTTTATGAAGTGCCCGTGTATGTACGCAGCATCGTGCCTCTCCGCCTTGTACAACATCTGGACCTTCTGCACGGCCGCGCTTACTCTGTCCCCACGGGGTGGGTTCCGAGACCCCCGTGGGGCTGGAGACTCAGCCCCGAGCCCTTGACGTGGCACTTTCCCCGCGCAGCACACGTGTGCCGCAGTGACGGGGGGCACGGGAAGACAGGGGCAGCGGCCGGGGTGGACAGCACAGGGCCAGCTCCATGCCACACTGTGATGTGCTACCCGAGGGACGTCGTGGCTTTAATCCCGGCCCGGGCAGCCTGAGATGCGGGCACGCCGTCAGTGCCCCTCGGCAGCCGGTGAGGGAGGGTGAGCGCGGCTGCACCGTGCCAGGCCCGTGCAACAGCTACGATAGCGTGCCCTAGAGGAGCGACCAGGACGGGCACCTTAGTCTCTCAGCACCTTACCTCCCGCCCCGAGGAGAGTGTGGTCGCTTCTCCTTGTCCGTCTACGCCAGACTGAAACTCCACTTCGTAGACGGTTAGGCTTCTTCAGCTTTTCCTAATGAACGTCTCTGTGTAGACACCTCAGCCTATGAACCTGGGGGAATCGTTCTGTAGAGACAGAGTTTCGGCAAGTCTTGTCCCGAGAGCTATTCTCAGCGGACTGAGCCTGTGTCATCCAATCCTGGAAAGTGTGTCAGAACACGGGTGGAGACTAAGGGTGAGTCAGGCGTGAAAGCCGTGAGCGCTCACCCTGCCTCCAGGGCGCAGGTAAAGCTCCCACTCCCGTGGGCCAGCACGGTCCCGTAAGGGGTCGTGCTGACTGAAGTTCTCGTGTGCACTCGCGGGGCCTCACACTCCGCCAGCCGGGAGCCCCGGCACGTCCGGAGTGGTGGGTCGTGCATGGCATGTTGGTGCTTCAGTCCACGACAGCCGAGACGTCCTAGAGGCAGGCCCAGCGGGCAGCACGGCGGGTGTGCTGTGCTCTGTGGGCCGGGTTCACATGGCAGTCCTGAGTTGGCCCTCGAGGTCTCCCTGCACACGCCAGTGCACACGCAGCTGGGGTGGATCGTGGCGTGGAGTCACTATTGGGGATGCGTCTCTCTCTCCTCGCTCTTTTTCTCTGAGTCTCTCATAGAGACACTTCTAAAGGGGAGGTTAGCAGCTTCCCATGTAGTTTAGGTAGGAAGCAGGCTATGCCTTCTAGGTCTGAGCGACTGCTAAGAAATCTTCTAGTGATGGATTTCTCAGAGTGTCCCCACCATTAAGCAACAGTGACCATGTGCCCATTATTTTTCTATTTTTGAGATATTTTTGCTAGAGGTCACGTGTGCTTGCCAGAAAGACCGAGAGACAGAAATGAAAAATTAACACCCCCGGGGGTGGCCACGCCACAGTCCCTTCTCCTCCATTCTCCTCTTGGGATTTTGGACACTCATGCACACACTCCCGGTGTGAGTTTCAAGCTGCTGGGTCCAGGTCTTGAACCACGGTAGGACTATGCCATATTTATTACAACTCTCTCTTACATCTTTGCCATTCTAAGCAATGCTGCGGTATCTCTGATTTTTTTTTTTTTGAGAGGTTTTTGCTATAGAGGGTGTGTGCACTTGCCAGACAGAAAGAGAGAGACAGAGAGGCAGAAAGTGAGAAATCACCCCCCCGGGGGATGGCCACGCCGCAATCCCTTCTCGTCCATTCTCCTCTCAGGATCTTGGGCACGCGCCTGGCGTGAGTGTAAGCCACCGGGTCCAGGACGCGAACCGCGGTTGACTACATGGGAATCCAGCAACAGAGCCATTACACTAACTGCCTGTCCCATCTCTGATTTTATTTCTTGTGTGAAGATGTTGGTACAAACCCCTAGATGGACCCAGAGGTCAAGGCTTGCGTACTTCCGGTTGATGCTGACGAACTGCCCCCAGAAACGCTAGGGCAGCTCACGTCCTCCGCTCCCTCTGTCAGCTCGCTGCTGCTCTTCCTTTGCGTTTCAGTCCTCTGGTTACCATTCTTGAATTCTGTTTCAAGTGGAACAGTCACCCCCAGTTACGTTTGACTGTCCCAAGAGTTGCAGGATCAAAGAAGCCCTCTCCAAAGCAAACCTGTTGCTCAAGAGCAAGGGATTGATTTTGTTGCTCAATGTACCAGATAGCCAGAACTGAATCCCTTCTCTAAGTAAACTTGGTTACATTCTGATTTGCTGTTTAGTCCTAGCTGTTGTCTTTGCAGAAATCAAATATCATTTAGTCTAAAGGTTCTCTTTTGAAAGTCACACTCTCCTTGGGCAGCATAGGGTACAAAGTGTTACCCTGTTACCATGTTGCAGAAGGCGTAGAGATCAATTGCAACTCCATTGTCTCCCTGCTGCAGCCAGGAACTTCTGATTTGGTTGGATACATTGAGCTGCCCTGCGGTTATTAACTAGCTGTGTAATATTTCAATCTATAAATACACTGTCAGTATTTTAGACAGGCCTTTGTGGATGACACTGTATTTTAAAACATACAGCATTTATCGATTTTTGAAATTGCAGAAGTAGGCGATCCTGGAAACTACACAAAAGGATAAAGAAGAAAACACACTTGCAATTTTACCACCAAGATGTGTGTACGCGTTTTCTTTTTTTATTATTTCCGTCTGATACTAAGTTTATGAAGTCATGTTCTAACTAGAAGACAAGCCAAGCACGGCGTTAAAATGTCCGTGCAGAGACATCGCTGCCCCTCTGCAGTTTGTGTTTTTACAGCCGCAGCCCCCCTCTTCTCAGTGTTTCGGAACCTGCTTCTACCTAACAGTACCTTAGGAAGGTTTCCGCGGGTCTGCAGCATGCTGTGGGTCATCACACATTATTACCATCCCCCCTCAGCTATGGATGATGCTGTGAGGGACAGACTTCTGCAGAAATCTCAGAAGCTTGTCTTCTTTACGATCGTCAAGGTGTTGGATAACCAAAGAATCTATGCATTTTTCAAGTTTTTATATGTATTACTAAATAATAACTAGCCACTTTTATATAACTGTGCATATTAAACAGCTAAGTAAGACTTTGACAACGAAGACAAGTAGAAGGTGTCTTCTGATTCAGATTGGTGCTGTGGGCCGGCTCTGTGGTGTGGCGGTTAAGGCAGCTGGATCTCATGTGGCTGCCAACATAGTTCAAATCTCAGACGCAGTGACTTGAGAAACACGTGCCCTCTAGAAAAAAAAATAACTGGTGTTTGCTGAGTGACTAGTTAGGTAATTAAAATTCCTCAGAAGAATATGTAAATAGTGGGTCAGTAACAACATGAATACATGGACGATATATTGTAGATAGTACTGTTTTAAAATAGCACCTGTTTTTATTTTACTTACTTTCTAATTTGCCAGAGTGTGCGTGCATTCGGCAGAGACGGAGAAGCAGGGAGAGGGAGAAAGCCCCCAGCGGGGTGAGTCACGTGTCTCCTCCATCTCTCCCTCCTTTCGAACTGTGGCCACACAGGTGCATGAGCCAGGAGTGTTTCTCAAGTGGCCTTCTAGGACTTGAACCATGCCATTCACCCATGTGGATCCAGCTTCCTTCGTCCCCAGTGCCGGGCTGGCCCCGACCGGTATCGGAGAGAAGGCTTTCAGTTATGGATCAGCTCCGTGAACTGCCAGGCGACCTTTGTCGCTCCCCGCGAGCCTGTCGATGGGGGGTTTTCGACATGGATTCCGATCTGCCGTTCACATGTGGAGGAGCAGAGCTCTATGGCAGGGGCGAGGCGAGCCGGGACAGGACCATGGCGGGGCCACTCCTGTGCAGGGTGCCCGGCCTTTCCCCTGCCCTGCAGGACACATCAGAGGACATGCTCCAGCTCCTTAGGCGTGGCTCAGAGGGGTTGTGAGGGCCTCCTCTGCTCTTTGTTGAGAATATGTTTCAGGCTAAGGCCTCCTGAAGAAGCAGGTTCGGTAGCTGGATAAGAAGCCAGCTTGAGGAAACGGTGTGTGTGTGTGTGTGCGTGTGTGTGTGCATGTGTGTGCATGTGTGTGTGTGTGCATGTGTGTGTTTCCCTAGCAGACTTTGGGGACTCTGCAGTGTGAGAACTGAATTATGAAATAAGACCAGCCACGTGGAATGAACCTCCCGGTAAATGGGGTGTAGAGGACTTTTCAGGCTCCGTTCATTTCAACAAAGGTTGACTGAGAACTTAACTTCTAACTGGCATACTAACCGAGCACGGGGTACAGAAATAGCTACGAGGGGCTCCTGTCCTACACACGGCCTGGCAGGGAAGGCGGAGGCTTTGCTTGGAGAGACATGGCCAAGATTTCGGAGGAGTCAGGGTAACTGAGCAGAGTTTTATGGGGCGAATTGACTTTGCAAATGTACTTGCAGGAAGCTCAGGATAGAACCGCCGTGTGCCCTAGCGGTCCCGCTGCTCGGCATTTATCTGAAGGACACGAAATCCACATGCCACACACAACCCTGTCCACCTGTCCATCCCATCGGGAGCCTGGGCATGTGCACACGTGCCCCATGTGGTTTTTAACCCACTGGGGCTGGGAATCAAACTAGAGTCGGCCCTGTGGGATCAGGGTCCCTTAACCACTAGGCTATGGGGCCAACTCTCTCTGAAATGTTTAGTTGACCTTTGTAAATGCTTCCTTTTTTTTTTCTTTTCTTTTGGGAGAGAGGTTTTTGTTATAGGGTGCGTGCACTCGCTAGAAAGACAGAGACAGAGAGACAGAAAGTGAGAAATCACCCCCGGGGGGATGGCCACGCCGCAATCCCTTCTCCTCTATTCTCCTCTTGGGATCTTGGGCACACACTCACATGCGCCTAGTGTGAGTTTAAGCCACTGGGTCTGGGGTTTGAACCGTGGTCAACTATGTGGGAGTCCAGTGACATAGCCATTACGCTAACTGCTGGTCCAGATCTTTGTAAGTTCTTTTAGGGGGTTGCTTTGGATGAGCACGTGATGGAACTGAATCTGTCTTGCTGTGGGTGGGCATGTGGTTGAGCTGGGTCCGTGCTGCCGTGGGTGAGCACGTGGTCGAGCTTGGGTAAGCACGTGGTCGAGGTGGGTCCGTGCTGCCGTGGGTGAGCGCGTGGTCCAGCTGGGTCCGTCCACGCTGGATTCCTTTGTGTCTGTGCGTGTGAGACATTTATCGAGGGGAGGGGACCCGAGCAAGGACTCTTGCACTGCCGTCACCAGCACAGGCTGCCTCCTCCAGGCAGCCCTTCCCTTGTGGGGCTCCCCACTTGGCTCTCAGCCTCCCGCGGCATCTGGCTCCGGTGGGTGTGCATCCGTGATTTGTCACCGCTGACGTGCTGCGCCTCCCCTGAAGGTGTCGTCGGGGCCATCTGTCTCTCACGCCTCCCTTGAGCCCTCGCTGGCTGGGTGTCTGCTGGCTGGGTCCAAGAGCAAGAGGGGGTGTCGACTGTGCCCTTGTCCTTTCAGACACCTCGACAGTGTCTCCTTAGTGTCTCCTGCGGCTCCCCTAGGAGGGGTAAGCTCGGCTTTGATAGACGGTAGCTAACAATGTCTCCATCTGTTAAAATTCAAACCGAATGAATTAAAAGCCTGTCGTGAAAGGAGGCCAACGTCCCCCAAGGTTGATCTCGGCGTTATATCGCATTAGTGAGATCTGTTCTGCTCAGGAGAGTCCGATCACATGCGACAGACGAGAAAACACCGCCCCCATGTCGTGGGGACCTCGGTTTCTGTATCGTCGTTTGCGATGGGTTGAGGCATAGCCAGAGTTAAATTCAGCTTCTTAACTGTCATCCTTTGCAGGTCATGGCATTCCCTTTGGAGTCATCTTTGGTGGAACTGATTTAAATGAAGACGCTCACCAGGGAGAAAAGAACAAGGTGATGGGGCAAGTCCTTGAGGACGCCAGGTAATGCTCACGACAGCCTCCCCTCACGCCTGCCAGCCCTCTGGAGTGAGCTGGCTAAAACAGAGCGCAGGGGCTGAGGTCTCTGTGCCTCCACTGAGGACCAGAGGTCTGCGCCGCAGACCCTTGGTTGGGCGTGCGTCCGATTTGCCACGACGAGGCGCTGCACGTGAGTCATTGCCATGGAACCCGTCTCCGCCTACAGTTAATGCCGGGCGAGTGTTCTGAGACTCTTGTGCGTGGTTAAAGACAGAAGTGTTGCTTTGTAGAAAGCGGCAGTGCAGTGAGCTCACCTGGAAGGCACCCAGGGCAGGTCCCGTTTGCCTGCAGTCTGCCCGCGCGCTCTGACTGAGTGTGGTTCCTGTCTGTGAGCTTTGCAAGCTACATAAGCCGTCTGCCAGAGGGCCACCAGCTGGGCTTTAGGCCTGCGGCTCTGGCCCTTCATGCCACGGCAGTCCTCCTTGCCACTCCGGACACTGGAGGGGTGGCCGGTGCAGGTCTATCTGCACTGGGTGGTGGTGGCTCTGGGGTGGGCTGTCCGTGAGGGCTCTGGGTCGTGAGCGTCCCTGAGCCAGTGCTGCGTGCTGCCATGTCCTCCAGGCACAGGGCACAGAGCGGGCGCTTCCTGATTCTCTAACCCGGCTCGGCGTGCTGATTGCCCTCGGTGGGGAAGCACTCCCAGTGCTGGAGCGCCCAGCCTCGTCACGTCAGCACACGCTTAGAAGCATGTTTTATAGCACCGGGTGGTCAGTGTGTCAACCAGGAAGGAGAAGGCCAAGGCAGGGCCAGCAGGTGGTGTGGGGGTGAAGGCACTGGACCCCCCCATGGCCTGCTACAGTTCAAGTCCTCAGACCGGGCGGCTTGAACATCACACTGGGTGCATTTGTGTATGCCCAAAATCCCAAGAGGAGAGTAGGTTCCTGAGGAAGCCCCACGGTGCCAGGTGTTTGACGTCCCTTGGCGCTGACTGAGTAGCCTGGGGTCGCCTGCTTCCAGGAGAAATTGGCCCACTTTGAGGAACCAGTTCCCTAAAGATGAAGTGTGACAGTGTGAGTTCTAGCTTGAGGGGCCCATCTGGGTGTGGGGAGCCCAGCAGGAGCCTCGCCTTCTCACGCCTTTACTGACCAGCTGGAGAGAGACCCACCCTGCTTTCTTTGTATAGCAAAGGCAGGGATAGAAATGAAAACAGTAGGGCCCAACAGATGGCACAGTGGCTAAGTCACTGGACTACCACCGGGTTGACCACGGTTCAAGTCCGGACCGGGAGGCTTCAGACTCACACTGGCACTTGTGCATGTGTGCCACAGATCCCAAGAGGAGAGCAGAGGAGTAGGGATTGCAGCGTGGCCATCCCCACAGGAAGCGATTGCTCACTTGCTGTCTCTCTGGTGAATGCACACGCCCTATGGCAAAAATATCTCTTAAAAAAAGAGAGAGAATGAAAAAATAGCAGTAATATGAATCCTCTATGACCACATAAAAATTATGACAAAAGGTGAAGCTACATCAAAAGAACTAAATATACATGCCTATTCCAAACAGAACTCTCCTGGTAGTAAGTGACGAGGTGGTCAGCAGGCTCCTGGGGTGGGCAGGGAAGCGCCCATGGTGTGATGGTTAAGGCAGTTGGATCCCAGTGGCCGACCGCGTGGTTCAAACCCTGAGCCTGGCGGCTCGGACTGTATGCTGAGCGCGTGCGTGTGCGTGCTCGAAATCCTGGAAGTGGAAGTGGAGAAGGGGTGACAATGCCCCACAGGGAGTACTCTCTCACGTTCCCTCTGTCTCTGTCTCTCTCTGTCAAGTGCTCCTGGCCTCTAGCAAATAAAAATACAAAAACAAAAACAAAACAAGAAACAGACAGGCTTCCTGGGGATGCAGAGTTCCTTGCCGTTGGCTTTTCCCAGATGCCCACTGTCTCCTGATGCTACGGGAAAACCTCACATGCCCAGAGCATAACCCTTAATTCAACGTGTGCAGAATGCCCAACAACACCAACTCTTAAATCTTTGAGTCACTGAAAACAGAACAGGCAATTGGTTTCAACCCAGTAAACCGGGAGCCATCAATTTCCTGTGCTCCTCTGTAGCTGTCTCCTGGCTGGGAGCTCTGGCCAGCTCAGACGGGATCTTTCTGAGGCTTTGTGTACTGGATTACCGGGTCGTTCCTTGTCCACACCATGGACAGGGCTCTCGGTTCCGCTGTGCAGCCCAGATGCCCTTCCGTTTTTGCAATGCAGGTGAGGGTCTTGCCCTTAAAACCAGGGCCACTGTGGGTCGCCATCTCTTCTCAGGAACCTGCTGCTGCTTGAGAATGCCCTGTCCGTAATGTGACTGTGCCTCGTCTCTGGAAACAGAGCACACGTCAGGCGTGTGTGCGCGTGTGTGCGCGTGTGTGCGCGTGCTCGTGTGTGCCCATCCTGTAGTAAACAGGCATTGAGGTGCTTGGGGGATACCAGACAGGTGACCTATCAGTACGGGCTTCCTTATTGCTGCTGTCCTCAGACCTAGGGATGCGTTACCTTTCCTTCATGTGTTTGTAAAGCACCGTCCTACAGAAGGAGCACCATCGTGTTTACTAGACGCGCTATCGGAAGGTTCTCTTACAGTATCAGCATTAGCATTAGTCATAGCATTGTTATTAAAACAAACATTGATTTTGATCAGGGGTTATTGATTGAGGTTAGTGGGCAGAGGGCTGCACGCGTCATAGATTTCCTGTCCAACACGCATGCCATAGGACTCTGCGAAGTGAAGTACTGAGCTTGTCTAGCTTGGTAATGAGCGTTCCATTTTATAATCAAGTACTTTTAAATAGTTGCGTTTTTCCCCTAGGGTCTACTTCCGAAATTTAAAAACAGATTTTTAACGTCTTCCTTTATAGTATCATGTTTGAATTTCTGTTAGCCTCAGCTTTTTGGCTGATGCTTGGCGTAGGTCGTTAGTGTTGGGCCATCGGAGATTTGAAATTGTGTGACGGATATTCGAAACGTGGGTTTTGAAGGACCACGCAGGCACATGCTGGAAAACTAAATAGTGCTGAGCAGATGAGCAGAAGTGAGCTTGGACAAGTGAAGTGCCTCAAAAAGGAACTCGCGGTGAGGGTGCCCACAGCGCGGGCTAGGTTAAACGATGCAAAGTTGCTGTTTTCTACGTCAAAATAGCGGAATACAGATTTTTGAGCTGCAGCATCACTGACGATATTTTGGCAGACAGAATCGCCCGTCACAGTGGAGAAACCGCCCTGAAATGGCGATACCCACCCAAGGGCAGAAGGGACGGGTCTGTATTTTTCACAGAAAGGTGTTCTTTTACATACTCCCAGCACCCAAGGATCTGGGGCTGGACACGCATGCCGACTGTGAAAACCAGGTAGGCATGTCAGGGCTGCACCCGCAGTGGGAGGCCGGGAGCAGGCATGAGTGTCTGGAGAGATGACGGCCACAGCTCGGTGCACCCTGATGCCCCTGCACCGCACACACCATGCTCTTTCTGCTGAAATCTGCCCAGGCCCCTCCTCCCTGCCCGTCTGTCCTGACCGTGCTGTAGCTGCTCCCGTGTAGTCGACCGCAGTTCGAGTCCCGGACCCGGTGACTTAAATTCACACAAGGCGCGTGTGTGTGCGTGCCCAAGATCCCGAGAGGAGAATGGAGGAGAAGGGATTGCGGAGTGGCCATCTCCCCTGGGAGGTGATTTCTCACTTCCTGTCTCTCTGTTTCTCTCTGTCTTTCTGGCGAGCGCACATGCCCTATAGCAAAAATCCCTCCACGCACACACACACACACACTGGTGTGTCCAGGACTCAAACCACAGTCAGCCACGTGAGAACCTAGCACCTTAACCACTGTGCCGCCCTGCTGGCCTTTTAAATATTACTCAATTTGTCAAAAATGAACATTATCTAGTAATGACTCTTCCTGTCTAAGAAGGTGGTGCCCACTTTCACAGAAAGCTGTCTTAACATTCCTGGATTTCCTGACAAACGCAGTTTCAGTCGGTGGATGACCGTCACATCGGCATACCCTCGACTCCGGTGCCCCTGGTGTATCTGCTAGACACTGTTAGCCTTACGAGCAGGTACGCATTCGCACACGCCGGGACTCCGGGAGCTTAGCAGAGGCATCCTTTGGGAAAGCCGGTGGAGGGTGGCCAGTCCTAGATGTCCAGCGTGGGTTAACTGGGCCCTTTGTCTTCCGTCCGGGTCCTGCTTTCAGGGCTCTGCTCTAACCCCTGCTTCTCTGGCTTTGCAGAGGAGAAGTAGGAAAAACGGGGAATTTTTAGCTTCATTTGGGTTATTTCTTGCGTACACAACATTTTCGGATATGGATAGAGATTAAACCTAATGGCCAATGACCACAGGTAATAAAGATTGATTGAACGTCAAATTCAGCGTCTGACCTTGTCTCCCATAATTTGTCCCGAAGAGCTGTTTCATAGTTGTGTTAATTGAATCCTGGCCTAATCATTTCCATCATTTCTGTTCATTTACAGGTTTGCTGTCGCTTTCACAGAGTCGATGAAGGAAACGGCACAAACGCAGTGGGTATGTGTTTCTTTCGTGTTATTATTTTGATTGTCCTGGAGAAGTTGCAGTCGGAGAAGTGAAGGCAGTCTTCCTGGAACTGACAAAGTCCCCCCAGCAATGCCTGTCATTGCCACAGTTGTATAGTATGTTTTCTACATATTGATTTGTGTGTGTGTGTAGATACCCTTATTACTTGACTGATTTTTTTAAATGTTGTTATTGAACAACAAAAGTGTTCTAATAGGCAAATCTTTTCCCATTTTATTTTTCTTTTTGTACTCTCAGGTTGGCTGACCTGCAGGCTGTATGATGAATGTCGCAGCACTCTGTCTACGCAGAGTAACAGTCTCTCAGATGGCAGAGGCAGTGTCCTAGGTTGGGCTACTTACTTGAAGAGTTTAAGTCAGGACTTTGCAGCAGTCCAAGTGCATTGCTTATTGACTCTGTATTCC